AAATGCAAGAGATGGGCCTATGAAGGTTCTGACTCCAGTAACAGGCATGGGGGTCTCATTTCAGGATTGTGGAGGAGGAAGAGAAGTTTAAGAAGCAATGGGAAGAAGACTGGGGCTCAAAGGAACAGCTACTCTTGCCTAAAACCATCACTGCTGAGGTGCACCCAGTACCCCTTCGCAAGCCAAAGTGTAAGTTTCATGAGCCGGGGGAGAGGCTAAGGGGACTAGACAGAAATGCTGGCCCTCCCTCCCCTCACCACCACCCCCAGGTGGATAGCCCTTGGTGCTATGGGCTGCGGTTCCTTTATGGAGGGGCAGCTGTGGGTCAGAGACCATCTGCCCCAGCATCAAGGTAGGAGGGATCTGTCTGCTCCGCTTGTTCACAGGCCAGCTCCACATACCCAGCTCCCAGGTCCCACACAACACTGATGCGGGCAGGCTGTCAGGCTGCTGAAGAGGGAATAAGGGCCATGGCAAAAGTGGGCTAGCTCATGGGATTACTGTCCTAGTGTTTAGGGTGTCGGGTCCTCCTCCTACTTTGTTCTGAACAGGGACTGGGGTGAAGCCAGCAGCAAAAAAGAGAGGAAGGAGCTCACATCAGAGAAGGGCTCTGATGGTCCAAGGTTGATTCATAACTGTGGGAGAAGCTTACTAAGTATCTCCAGCCCCTATATCCCTGTACGTGGACCACTGTCACGCCACTCCAAGAATGGAGGCAGGAACAGGACTAGGAAGCTTCTCCCAGACACCCAGCTGTGGGCTGCGGCTGTGCTATTCTGGAGCCTCAGCTCATATTCTCCTTACCATCTCCTCTCTTCATCTGTCCCACATCCTCACCTCCAGTTTCAGTCTAGGCCTCTACCACCTGCTCCCTGACCACCTTCTCAACCCCCGTTTCCAGATGCCTCTTTAAGAGGCAGCCCACACTGCCAGAGGAAAACGGAGGTCATGACAACCACAAGTCCAGGATTGCTGGTTGGGTCCTTACTCCTGCCTTCCAGCTGTTTTGACTTATAGTTGACACAGGACAGGTCTTACTCCAGCTGATTGTGCTCAGCTGACCTGGGAACCTCCAGCTAGGGGCGAATCTGGACTCAAGAGCCCAGGTTCCCCATCTCTGCTGTGGGGCAGTCATTTGGCATGCTGTGATGGGGTCTCAACAGCTCTGTCCCCAACTTTGGGTCACATCTGAGACCTATGGGAATGTCAACCTGCCAACACAGGCCATTTGCACCAAGGAAGAGGTGCAGGTTATCTGGATGGTTCCATTTCACCCCTCCCTGGTACAGGCAAGCAGCTCCCAACACATTTCTTCCTGGCAGCAGGGCAGTGTCATCTCCTGGTCCTCTCCGAAGGACAAAGCACCCTCTCATCGGCCTCCCCCATGACATTCAGTATCAGTTGAGGATGTAGCCAGAGCTAAGCTCCCAATGAATGATCCCTGTTTTAGACGGGCAGCTAATTTGCTCTTATAAGTGAAACAGGAGCTTCAGGAGAGAAATCGATTTTAATTGCTTCTCATGGAAGTAATCCTAGTCAATTTGGTACCTTCCAAGAAACTGGGCCTCAGCTTCACAGCAAACACACCCTCTCAGGAACAAAAGAAAATAAAAACCCTTTCACTAGCTGGTTATTTATTTAGTGCTTTTAAACCAAATCAAGCTCCTTGAATAAAAAGACGAAGAATTTTGCATTTGCTCAAGGTAAATGTAATCCTAGGCAGCTCCACAAAGCACAGGATGGATGACCCCCGCCTGCCTGCTGAGCTGGGACAGCTGCTGCCTCTATCTGTCTCCGTATGCGCCAGCAATTTAATTCTCATTTGGACCTAAGGCAGGAAATGCAGTGAGGTCCCTGAACCAGCTCACCTCCTGCCTCACTCCCTGTTCCCTGGGGGCTAGCATGGTCTAGCAGGCCTGGGCCCCAGCCAGCTCCTACCCAACCACCCTTCAACTCAGGGACCCAGTTTGCAATGGGTTATACCTGACTCAGGTTTCTATGCCTGCAAGGGGTGGGTCCTGCTTTTTTTTTTTTTTTTTTTTGTCTTGAGACGGAGTTTCGCTCTTGTTGCCCAGGCTGGAGTACAATGGCATGATCTCAGCTCACCGCAACCTCTGCTTCCCAGGTTCAAGCAATTCTCCTGCCTCAGCCTCCCAAGTAGCTGGGACTACAGGCATGAGCCACCATGCCCGGCTAATTTTGTATTTTTAGTAGAGAGGGGGTTTCACCATGTTGGTCAGGCTGGTCTTGAACTCCCGACCTCAGGTGATCTGCCCATCTCCGCCTCCCAAAGTGCTGGAATTACAGGCAAGAGCCACCGCGCCTGACCCCAGGCCCTACAGTTTTTTAAAATAAAAGAACATGGGGCATCCCTTACCTAGAAAATGAAGTCACTCATCCTAATGATGTGCCTGGGACTGACTGCCCCCCAACCTGCGCCAGGGGGCTCTTAAAATTGCTGCAGCCCACCTACCCATGGCTGATCCAGCAGACCCCCAACATTTTGCCAAGCCCTGAAGGCCGGGACACCACCATGGAGGCTCCTAACAGACCTTCCCTTAGCTTAGGCAATAGGTGGTTACATGGGAGTTCAGGGGGCAGCCTTGGCTAAGGATCCAGTAGCTGAGGGATTCTTGAAAGAGGGAGATGTTTAAGAGATCTCCAACCTTCTCTCCCTATCCAAGGCCCCATCAACTATCTCCCTCACCTCCACCACAAGAGACCCCATGATTTGGAAGTTGAGGTTATTTTCCTAACAAACTATTAAATAATCATTTGTGTTCCATTGTTTTATTAAGTAGCCCTTGTTAGTAAGGGAGCATCAGGGTTCCACTGTTGGGTAAATGTAATTTGAGCCAAGAGCCAAAGAACTTAACAGCCCTTGCATAGGCCAATGGGCAAGTTCTGTTAAGCTTTTAAAATATTAAAAAGCAGCTCACAAGCAAACTGGTACACTACCTTCCAGAGTCCTAGGGAGGCCAGAGTCCAAGCTGGAAACACTGGAATGGAGGGTCTGCTCTTCTCTCCACATTATGTCAAAATTCAGGTCTTCCTAACTGCAGGTGCCCCTTTTACCTTTTGGGATGTCCCCACCTCCTCAGGGCCTTCAGCCTCCATCTGCTGCCCACACTGTTCAGACATCCCCTGGGGACCCAGAGCTCCAAGGCAAGGGTGATAAGCAGAAGGCAGGAGGGTCTTTCTCCCATTGCAGCCCCTTGCCCTCAAATGTGTGCGATTCTCAGATATTCCCATCCCCCTCGCTGCACTTCCCAGCCTTCAGCCCAACATCCTACAAAATGGTTCTCACGCTGCCCTCAGATCTGAGTTTCCTGTTGTTAGCCCTTTGTACAGACAGATAAACTAAAGCTACTAAGGTTGAAAGCACTGTATACACCAGCTCAGAGCAAAAAACCTTTGCTCTGCGCTCCTGAACTCTGTCCCTGCCCCTGACCTCACAACTCCCCTGGAGGAAGCTGATCACAGGTCTCCACACTCCTGAGAAGCTTCTCCAGCCTCTTGGTCTCCCAAGTCCCTTTTGGTTCACCAGCTTCCTCCTCTTTTCCCCGGTAGATCAGGGAGTGGAGCCTGAGCTCGAGCCCACAGATGACCCGGATGGAGGCACGGAGGAGCAGGGAGAGCAGGTTCGCGCCCCCGCTTTGCTCCCTGGCCTGGCTGCTCTGCTTGTCCTGCCCGCCTCCTCCTGACCACAGTGCAGACACCCAGCTTCAGGGGACCAGCATGTATGGGGGCCGCTAGAGTCTGTAAAGCTCCTCTAAGCCCTAGCTTGGCCCAAGCACTGTACACAAAGCGTAGAGGACAGGACTCAACCCCGAGGGTGGTAGATCAGCTGTCGCACACCGGTACCACTGAACTGCTGGCTCGAATATTTAGATATTGCCAAATTCCCCCTCTGCTGCTCTGGCCCCTCCCCCAGGACCCCCTAGACCACTCCCAAATCCAGCAACTAAGGAGGTAGTGTCTGGTCCAGCAGGGGGGTTTCAGCATCCTATTCCAGCACTCAGGCTGGTCCGGGGTGGGTAATTCAGCCATCGCTCTTGGCCCCAGGGAGCTTCAGACTGGGGTTATTACTCTGTGGAGCTGTGGCCTAGGCTAAGGAAGGGGGCTGGTGCACTGGTTATCTGGCCTGGATGAGGATATGTTTTCTGGGGGCACATCTCCTGCCCACTCCTGCTGGAGCTGTCCTTCCCAGAGCTGTCCCAGCCACTGCCTTCTCTTTCAATGTTGAAAGTGGAGGACTTGGCCTGCACTATGAGACAAGCCAGTTTTGTTGTGTCGAACAACAGTTCTAGGCAGACACCCAGGCTCCCTTTTGTCTTGAGCCATTTCTTGTATGGAGGGACCAGACATGGGTTAGAAAAGGCCTTATTCTCTTTCAACAAGGCTTTGTATGTGAAGACTGTGATTTGGAAAAGCTCGTCCTTCCACAAGGAGTTTTCTCTTTGATGTTCTGGCCCTGACTTCTGAAGCCAGTGTCCTGGGGAGAGGCATTTGAGAGTGACCCGGGGCCTGGGAACTGGGGCTTTTCTCAGGTGGTCTTAGGCCTGTTCTGCAACCAGCGCGAGGCCAGGTAAGCAGAGCTGAACAAAGGGTGCAGTTTTGCTGTTGGATCGGCCAGTGCTGTTCATCTCACAAAGCCATGCATTGCTTGGGAACCCAGCTCCCATCTGCTGCCCATGGATGCTCTGGCTGAGCTGAACTGTGTCTCATCATTTTGTTATCTGTGTTCTTATAGCTTTTGGGTGGTTTTATCGTTACGATGGCAAATTCCCAACCATCCGGAAGGTAGGACAGGGTTGGGTGCTATGCTGGTGTGCTGCTGAGTTTGCCGTGGGTTTTGGCTTTTCCCAAACATTCCTTGTCCTGTCAACACTAAATGGTGTGACTTGGCCTGTTCACTTGGAAGGCTAACCCCATCTGCATCTCTGTGTCAGGCTGACATCAAATGGCAGGGTGCCATTGCAAAGGCAACATCGGGAGAAGGATCCATGGTGTGAGACCTACCCAAGTACCATCTGGCACTGTGTGCATCAGCGCCGGCCCTGATGGGCACAGGAAAGGGGCAGGAAGCTTCTCCTTGTTTCTCTGTCAAGTAGAACTAGAGACCAAGGCCAGAAGCTTGGGGTCAGACAGAGCGAATTATCAGGGTGGGTGTACCTAGTGCATGTTATGAGACCGGCTGTGCCAGATGCAGCCTGCCTGACGAGGTGGAGATTTGCTGCCTCAGGTCAGGACAGAGACCCACTCCAAGCACAGCCCTCTCCTAGGAATATCTCTGCATGTGCCCAGGATAATGCATTTTCCCAATCTCTAGGACCTTTAATTTTCTCTCTAAATCTTATTACAATATCTCCAGGCCTTGTAAAACTCTCTTGTCCTTGTCTTTCTAAATCACATTGACATTTGATTGTGAAAACATTGCTGTTAACGTCTGTAATTGGACATTCGAGATGACTTGGTATTTGGAAGTCAGGCAACAGCATAAATCTGGGTGAGCTAAATTATCATTTGACCAGCGCTTTCTGGCGAGATGTCAGTCCCCCAGAAACCAGAGCACTGGCAGCTGAGTGACCTTGAGGATAAATAACTTCTCCCTGCCTGTAAAATGGGAATATTAACTGTGCCAGGAAAATCTACCCCCTTCCTCCAGCACATTGCTATTAAAATAACAAACAGTAATATTTTTCCTGACAGAGGTAAATGCCTGTATCTAGGAAAATAGATCATGATTTGTACAGCACTGAATAAACTTGGAACAGAGCTCCTCAGGGAATTCCTTCCCACATTGTCCTGGTCTCAGAAAGGCCTTGGTCTCATAAGACTATCTGTTTCACTTGATAGGCTGACTTTGGTGGCTTAGGATGCCTCATTGGGTTAGATTTCTAATTCTTCTCTATATACTGCCTCTACTAGAACTCAGCTAGAGAGGACAAAATACACACACGTACACACACACACACACGCACACATAGAAATTTACTCGAAAAAAATAATAAAGGAGACAGATATGTCAAATCTTTTTCAGACGCTAATAACATGTAAACGTAAAAGAACTAGAATCTTCTCCATATACCACCTCCCATCAGAAATCATGTCCTTGAAAGTGCTGTTGATAAAGAATTAGGGCTGCCTTTCCCCTACTCCTTAATCTACTTATTCCAGAAACAGCTGACATTTTGGTTTTCATTTTCACTTCCAAAAAAAAAGAAAAATTGCTTCTGGGTAAAATCAATAGCACAATCGCCCCATCTGCCTCCCCTCTCAGTCTGGACCAAAAGGAATGTTGTAACTGACGGGTCATGGATGTAACTGACAGGCCATGGATGTAACTGACAGCTGAAAGGACAACAGAACCATGCCCCTCGTCCTGGCTCTGAAAACCCATCATCATTTTTTCTAGAGCCGTGAGAGACTCTTTGTCTCCCAGCAGCTGGAACGCCAAGTCCCCAGGAAATGCAAGTGGGCATCTATGGCCATGATCATCTGTGCATAAATTCCCCTTATTAAAAAATAGAAAGATTCAGCTCATGCCTATAATCCCAGCACTGTGGGAGGCTGAGACAGGTGAATCACCTGAGGTTGAGAGTTCAAGACCAGCCTGGCCAACAGGGTGAAACCCTGTCTCTGTTAAAAATTCAAAAATTAGCCGGGTGTGGTGGCACATGCCTGTAATCCCAGCTACTCAGGAGGCTGAGGCAGGAGAATCACTTGAACCCTGGAGGTGGAGGCTGCAGTGAGCCAAGATTGCACCACTGCACTCCAGCCTGGGTGACAGAGCGGGACCCTGTTTCAAGAAAATAATAATAATAATATAAAAATTCAGTGTCTTCTATTTCCACCTTGGCAGTAAATCCCTCTAGGGCTCAAGATTCCCAGGCCTTTGGCCCCACAGAATTTATGCCGGGGCCTGAAGGATTCATGATTCTGACTAAGCCCTTTCATCAGAATTGCTTAAGTCACTCATACAGACCAGCCCTACTTGCAGGAGCCCACCGTCTGGCAGGGAAGGCAGATTCACACACAGCTAAGTAACCTGTGTGGGGCTAGTCTGAGATCAGTGGGAAATGCCATGGGGCAACCTGCCCTCTGCATCTGTACAGATGTGACTTTCTTGGGCATGAGACAGAAACTGACTACTACCCCGCCCAGAAGCCCTGACTCTATAATCTTAGTACTGGTAGTTTTCCTTTTTAAAAGCAACAGAATGGCCATTCTCCTCATGGTGGTCCTGGAGGAGGCCAGGCTCTTACTCTAGCAAGCTACCATTAGGCCATGTTTCTGTCTTCTCTTGGGAAATTGCTGTCTGAATCTCTACCACGATGGCAGGGATTCATCTGTCAACTGAGTCTAGTGAACAAGGTAGGCAAGGAACCAAACAGCACTCTGAAGCAGTGAGAACCATTTTCTCGAGAGGCTCATACACTGCTCTGGAGGTGGGTCCCAGAGGTGACCATTTCCAGAGCACATTAGCAGTGCATGGAGGTGTGTGTCTGTAGAAGAGGAGCTAGGAAGAGTCCTCAGAGGTCCATAATGGCCCACCAAGTCCCTCCAGCTGTGGATGAATGTTGTGTGTCCATTGCTAGGGAGCTCAGTTCCTCATTCCTGGCCTTGGAGGCTACGATGATTCAGGAAATTCAAGAGCAGATCCCCAGAAGGCTCGTTGGGGCCGTGAGTGAGCTCAGTGAACAGGGGGTTTCCTCTTTGCCCCAGAAATTGCCCAGAGTGTGGGCTGTCTCTGCTGCCCCTCTCCTGAGTGTTCGCTGTGTCCTCCACGCTGTGCATGATGGGGGCTGACCCTCCTGCCGTGTTTCCCTTGCCCCCAGCTCATCAGGGCACCATAGAAAAACTGGGGCCTCGAAGACTCGGGTCCAAATCCTGGCACCATCACTTACAAGATGTCTGACATTGAACAAGGGACTTTACCTCTCTGAGCCTCAGCTCCTTCACCAAAGAATGAGGATAAACCTACATAGGAGATCATTGGTGTAAATCCCTTGGCACATAGGCAGTTCATAAATGATCATTCTCTTCCTGCCTTAGTCCCTGGCTTCCCTGCAACCCCATGAGAGAAGCAGCCAGGAATGCAGGTCTAATTCCTACAGGAAAAATAAGGAGTCTATTTGCCTTTCATGTCCCTCCCCAAATCCTCTAGAACCCTGATGGTGAGTATAAAGCAGTTAAGCCATTCTCTCCGTCCTCTGCCTCCCAGTCCTGCAGTTTCCAGCTAGCCCTCAGTAAAGGGGCCCAGTTCAGAGGACACTGTGGGTCTAGACTCTCCAGGGTGAAACAGTTCAGAGTTTAAGCATGCGAGTAAAATCTGATGTCCCTGGCTCTGAGCCTCCAGGTCTGAGTGTGACTCCCACCACCTCTAGCTTAGGACAGGACCTCTACAGATGAGGCTTGCCAGCCCTCCCAGATTTTCTCTGGAATTTCCCAGGATGCATCTGTGAATCTGAACATGAGATGATGCAGAAGGCATGTGCCAGATACTGGAAAATCAACACAATGTCCTTTATTTATATAGCACTTATTTATTTTTATTTTATATTTTTATTTATATAAAACTTTTACAAAGTTCTTTCATAGATGCTATTTCATTGGCACTGAGTGGCAAGCTTGTGGGGGAGGTATTTTTACCATTTTGGAGATGAGGCAAATCAGGCCCAGAGAGGTTAAGGAACTTAGCCAAGGCCACACAGTTAGTTAGTGAGTGAACTAATAAGCCAGTCTTTCTGGCTGGTAAAGAGAATGTGTCTCCCACTCTGCAGTAGGTAACAGTGGCCTTCCTGTCCTAAACCTGAGGTCTGATGTCCAGTATGGTGAGACAGAGTTGGGGGAGGGGCTCACCATGGGATGGCTGTGTTATGTGAGGACTGGATGCCCTGTGTGCCATGCTGTCGACACTATTTGTAATCCTTGTCATATAAACAATGCCACATCTACTCAGAAAGGAAAAGATAAGAAGAAAGCCAAGTATGACAGCCTGCAGGACTTGAGAAAGAATAAGAAAGAACTGGAGTTTGAGCAAAAGCTTTACAAAGAGAAAGAGGAAATGCTGGAGAAGGAAAAGCAGCTAAAGATCAACCGGCTGGCCCAGGAGGTACGTGTCCTGCCTGCAGGCCAGGGAAGCATCCCTAGGACACAATGTGGTCGTTTCCCATGTGCTCCCAGAGGACCAGCTGGAGCTGTTCTCCCCAAATGGCGTACCAGGGTGGAGTGAGCCCTTCCCTGCTCCCCAGCCTGGAGAGAGAGATCGTGCCACCTGCTCAGGGCCATCTGAGGTTAGCTCCTGGCTTAGGAATTGAAACCAGCCTCCTTGCTCGGGAGGTGTGAGTCTGAGGCTAGCCTTTCTGACCAGATGGTAGGTCTCAGGTTAGCCCTTGATACACCTGGCTTAGAGGCTTGAGTCTGTCCTCTTCACTTTACCCCACCAGAGTCTAAGGCTAGGCCTCTCCATCTTAGGTATGGCTCTGAGGCTACTCAGAGTACGGTCTGAGGCTAACCCTTCTGCCTTGCTTATAGCTTTGAAGTTATGCTTCCACTGACCTGTCTACAAATCTGAATCATTCTGGCCTCCCTTCCCAGGTTATTGTAAGACCAGACCCCCCCCACCCAACTTAGCTTGGCTCTGAGAATATGGGTCTGAGACTAACCCCTTTGTGCAGCTGGTAGGTCTGAGGCTATCTCCCAATTAATCAGGCTATGAGTCTAAGGCTGCTCCCATCAACATAGGGTGTGTCTGAGGCTCGACCTCATCATCCTGGGAATATATCTGAGGCTGTTCCCCTGAAGACATGTCCAAAGCAACCTTCCACCATGAATAATTCCTATGCTAGGTGAGATGGGTAACCTTAACTCCCCGGCTGTAGGAGGTATCATTGTTTCTGCTTCTCTTTAACGCATCCATGAATCAGAATGCCAATTTGATTAGATTATAAAACCAGAGAAGTCCTGGAAAATGTGAAATTCATTAGGTCTGACATTATGAACAAATTAGCTACAAAATTAAAAATAAGATTGTGCTTCTGAGGGCAAGGCAGAATGGAGCAGGAAAAAAAAGAGTCAAGTTAAACTCTTGGAATGTGCTGGGGGAGGCTAAAAAACACCATTCTGGGAAAATCATAAGAGCCTCAGGGTTCATGGGGATCTGGGATCCAGCTAATCCCTCACAATACATAAGCCCCTTTTCTGATTTTGCCTACAAGTTCTGGTTAGTGAACTTGACACCCCGCCACTCTCTTCTCCCTTGCCACCTCCTTGAGGGCCAGTTGGAACAAGCCCAGGTCTCTTTCTAGATAGCGGATGCACCTCACAGTACTCTGGAGTTTTTAAAGGAGTGCTTTCATGCTATTTCTGTCCACATGTTATTCAAATGTGCCCTTTGTCCTCTCCTTTCTGCGCCGATCCTGGGTCCCAGGTGTCTGAGACAGAGCGGGAAGACCTTGAAGAATCGGAAAAGATTCAATATTGGGTGGAGAGGCTCTGTCAAACGCGCCTCGAGCAGATTTCATCTGCTGATAATGAGATTTCAGAGGTAACAGAGCCCTTCTTTCCACACAGACCCTCCTGCTGCCTTCAGAATGATTCACTGGGGGACAGTGGGAGGTGAGATGGCAACTAGCAAATGCCACTAGCCTCACAGGTGCCCATCCACTGTCCAGGCCCACCCCTACCAGCCCACTCCCCTCTTGGGGAGAATTTCTTGTCTGTATTTCTGGGTATACTCCCAGAGTGACACTAAGTCCCAGCTCATCCGAGATAGTCCCAGTTAGGCCTGTTGTCCTGGCATCATCACTAAGAGTCCCCCTTACACTCTCAAGGGCAGTCCAGTTTAGAGGATGAACTATGTGAACACCTTACCACCCACAGATGGCATAACTTGGGGCTCTCCTGCATTTGGGTACTCTCTACCAGCAGCCTAGTATGGGCTCAGCTGGGCATCCAGGTGGCAGAGGACTGGCACCCCATTGTTCTGGTTTAAGGGTAGTGGGTCTCCAGTAGCAAGAGAAACAGAGTAGAAGAGCATAGTGCTCGATGTATTGCGAAGTGGAGTGCTCATCAGAGTCACAATTACAGAACTTCCTTGCAATCCCCCCAGATGACCACAGGGCCCCCACCTCCTCTGCCTTCTGTGTCTCCCCTGGCCCCACCCTTGAGACGCTTCGCAGGCGGACTGCACCTGCACACCACTGACCTGGACGACATCCCTTTGGACATGTTCTACTATCCCCCCAAGACTTCCTCTGCCTTGCCTGTGATGCCCCACCCTCCACCCTCCAACCCACCCCACAAGGTCCCAGCGCCCCCTGTCCTTCCCTCATCTGGCCACGTGAGTGCCTCGTCTTCCCCATGGGTGCAGCGCACTCCACCCCCCATTCCCATCCCTCCCCCTCCATCCATTCCCACCCAAGACCTCACTCCCACCCGCCCACTGCCCTCGGCACTGGAAGAAGCATTGGGCAACCACCCCTTCCGCACTGGGGACACAGGCAATCCAGTGGAGGACTGGGAGGCAAAGAACCACAGTGGGAAGCCCACCAACTCCCCTGTCCCTGAACGGAGCTTCCCACCCACCCCAAAGGTACTCTCCCTGTTCTGCATGCTATGTTTGGAAGTAGGAAGAGTGGGGAGAACTGCTGTTTCCCATGTCCTCCACTGCTCCTGGGAGTGGAGACAGAAAGAAACATCATCTCACCCCATTTTCCAGGAATGTCCCCTCCGTGTGCATGTGTGGACATCCTGCATGTATATGGTTCCCACTGATTTTGAAGTGCTGTATTGTATGATGAATGGCCTGGGACCTTTGGGGTAAGCAACAGTGTGTCCATTTGATATTCATTGCTCTCTCTTGGCTCTTCTTTGCTAGTGTAGGCTGGTAACTTTCAATGCAGGACTTGGAAGGCTATGTTAATGAATAGCCAGCACTCTGTCACATCCAGTCATTCCCTGATAGTATCCCAGAAAGCCTTGAATATGGGAAATGACTCCTGATCTAGCAGGAGAAAAGGGAGGGGAGGAGGAAGCAGGGCACGGGTAACGCTGTACCATCAAATGCAGTGTTAGGACACTCTAGTGCCGTTTTCTACGGTACTGGCCAACTGCACTGCTTGAAGTGTAACACCCAGAAATTTCTGGCCAATTTCCCGCTATAGAAAAAATGAAGAGAGAGTTCCTAGAAATAATTTACTATTAAAAGAATAGGAATGTTTTTCTTGGATGTTAGGAAGATGAACAGTGTCTTTCTGAAAAAGACATATTTCTTATTAATTATTCGTAATCCAAAGACTATTTTGAAACATGCAATCTCTGAGGAAGACACGGAGCTTGGATCCCATGAAGGGAAAAGCAAAATATTATTCCGCTCCCGTAGCCATGAGGCCAGGCTTGAGTCAGTGCAAAAGCATCTCATGTCAGCTGACGGTAGCAGGGTTGCTGAGGGAGGGCATAGTCAATAGCACCTGACCAGTGGTTTTTATTAACCGTCCCTGCATGGATTTGAGTTCCTGCATGGAGAATGGGACAAGTATCTCAGAGCACTCAGGAGAGCTTACAAGGAAGGTGGGAGTGAAGAAAGTGCCAGATGCCAGCAAGGCTGCAGCTTCCAGCGGGAGACTCTCAGAGGGACCCTTTCCGGACCTCTGGTTGGGATTGTGAGCCCTGCAGCTTCGATAGGAAGAAATCTGCCTGTTCTGGGGACATCTTCCCCCAGAGCCCAGCCAGGAGCTGGTTTCTAGGGCTGAGTTAGCCTTGCACATTTTTCTCTGTAAGTGGCCTCCATCAAGATGAGCAGGCTTTTCCTCAACAAATTTGATTCCACATTGATTAAGTACCTGCCTGGGGCCTCTCTCTGTGAGGGGAAGAGGGGAGCAGTGCTGAAGATGATATGGAGGAGATTGACATGCCTGTGCTTTCCAGGACTTTGCCATCTGAAGGATGAGCTGCTGCCCAGGCAAGCTTCTGCTATAAAATATGCAAAAGCCATGCGCTATGGGAGGGATTCATTCTAACTGAAGGTTGAAGACACCTCTGTGGAGTAGAGGGCTTACGAGCTGAGCCTTGAGGGGTGGCAACACGTGGAGGATGGGAGCAAGGGCATTGTAAGTGCAGGGAACATAAATATGGCAAGTTGGAGTAGCAGGGAGTCGGACTGCCTGGGTTTGAATCCTGGCTCTGCCACTTACTAGCTAGATGACTTTGAACACATGCTACTTCATCTATCTGAGCCTGGGCATCCCTGTCCAAAAATAGGAATGTTAACGGCAGCTACCTATTCGAATCAAATAAGTTAATATATGAACACATTCTAAGTTAAGAATGGCAAGAGAGGCAGGCACATCGTGCATGTTCAGTAGACATTAACTATGGTTATTGATAGTCCAGAGTACAAGAAAATTTGGGTGAAGCTACAAACCTGGGATCTTAGCAATCTCAGTTAGTCTCAGCAAAACTTTGAGTCAGGGTCAAGATTCAAGACGGAGTTCAGATTTCTCAGATTCTTCAAGGCATCACGAAGTTCCCACTGTTAGTTCCTGATCAGAGCCCAGGGAAGGCAAAAAGCCCCCAACATAAGGAGCCTCTGAAGAACTGGACCGATAAGCGACATCAAAGCCAGGGTTGTCCCAGCCTCAAAGGCCAGGGGGTTGTTGTTTGGTTGGCTTCATCTGGCCCACCTCTCACCCTTGTACCACCCACCCTCTTCCTCCCTGCATGCCCCTGGCAAGGTGTCATCAGTGCTGCAGCAGGAAGTGTGAGTGACCACACGCCCACACAGTCGGCCCAGCCACCAGCAGGCCCCAAGTCATGGAAACAAATGCCTGTGTTGGCTTGACACTTGTGCCTGCCACACCAGCACCTGCCATAGGGGGGGTTTTCAGGGCCAGATCTGTCCACAGGCACTGTCCCATGTGCTCACCATACTATTTAATCATTCATTTATTCATTCAACACATGCTTATTGAGCACCTACTATATGCCAAGGCACTATGCAGGGCACTGGGAGCCCCTGCTAGATAGACAGTTGCAGTCTCCCTTCTCAAGACAGTCTGGTGGGAAACAAAGAAAAGTAGGCACCCGCTACACCATCAGGGTGGAGATGGAGGAAGCACAGGTGCTATAATAAGGAAGAGGGGTGGAGGAGAGGAAAGCTCAAGGGAGGCTTCCAGAAGGCAGTGATGCCCAACCTAAGACCTGGGAGGTAAAGCGGAAGAAGGAAAGAGCACATGTAAAGGCCTCAAGGCAAGAAAGCCTGGCATTTTTTTGAGGTTAAAGCTAGGCAGTGTGAGGAGGGTGGTGAGGAGTGAGAGATGAGGCTGAACAGGAAGATAGAGAAGCTCATGAAAGGCCTTGGGGGTCAGGCCAATGAGCTCAGTACTGGATGGGGACTCTTGGGAGGGCTTGGGGCAGGGTTGTGAATTGATTTGATACATATTGCCCAAGGAGATCAAGTGGGTTAGAGCCAAGCAGACAGGTTGCATCAGCTCCCGTGGATGCCACTCTTACTGGTCCTCACCCCATGGCCTCTAGAGACTATGTGCCTACCCACTAGGAACAGCAGATGCTTCACACTGTGGTCCAGGGACTGGAGCTGTGGCCAAAGAGACAGCCCTTAAAGACAAGGGACACTGGATAGCACCCATGACCACTGAGAGAGGGGTCTGAAAGTGTGTCTCCTGGGTGACACTGGCTGCAGGCAACCCCAAGTCAGGCTCTAGCTCAAGCATCTGATTTCTTAGAGCCACTCAGTAGCTTCTGTGGTCTCAGCCCACACTGTGGCCAATGGACTTCTCATCTCTCTGCGAAGATCACAGCCCCAGGACCTCCAGCAGGTTGAATGAACCAGGCTGGCTTCGCATGTGCATGGGTGTAGATTTGCATGTGTGTAGAAGTAGCATGGCTGGCCTTGGCCACCCCACCATGACCTCACCTGGGTCCCTGTTAAACTAACTCCTGTAGACATTTTGCCCAAGCCCACAGCCTCCACGAGGCCCTGGCGTGTCCACCATCTCCAAACCTGTCATGGTCCACCAGGAGCCCAATTTCATCTACAGGCCAGCTGTGAAATCTGAAGTTCTGGTAAGCCCCTTGGGTCCCCTCCAGGTTGTCTCTAGAGGAGCAGACCAGGGCTACCTCCCCTGGGCTCTGCTGTCTCTGGAGTGGAGGGCAAGTGAGGTGGGACAAAAATGCAGATCACAGATGCCATCTCTTAACCTTCTTATTGGCCAAGAGATGAGGCCACATGGGTATAAGTGGATGTTGGCATGACCAATGGAATTTCTGTTTCCCACTTGATGTAACAGCCTGGGGCTCTGTCTAAAAGTAATAATATTCACTAAGACCTGTGAAGAGCCTACTATGTGCCAGGCTCTGCATGGCCTCAATTAATTCTCACAGCAGAACTGTGGGATGGTTCCTGTGGTCATCCTGTTTAACACTCGAGGAAAGGGAGATTTAGAGAGGTTACCAGAGGGGGACCAGGTGCCCCAGGCAGAGCCTGGACTTAATACTTACCCTCATGCCTTTCATGCTCCAAAGCCCACACTCTTACCTTCATTGCCATCTTGCCAAAACCTACAGAGATTCCAGGTGCCCTGGCCCCTGCCCTAAGGCCTGTTGTGGCCTGGCAAGAAACACCCTCGGATGGAGAACTGGCCAGAGCAGGTTCACTCCCCTTCTCCAACTTACTTCTTACCTCTCACTGGGACTGGGAGTCTGAGGTGTGGTCCTGGGGAAGTGGGAAATGTCCACCAGCCTCAGTTACTGACAGCTAAGGGAGCTGGGATTCGTGTGCACCTCCCAGAGGTGCCGACCACTGGCTGGCCTCCCATGCACAATGAGAAGATAGTCATGTCAAAATTTTAACTTCCCTTTCAAGGAAACTCTATCCAAATGTCAAGGCAGGACAGCTGAGATATTTATTTTGGGCCTTAGCTGTCCCGTCAGCTCCCCAGAGAGCTAAGTTTTTGCTCCTGGGACAGCCTGCAGATGCATCCATGTCATGGTCTCTGGCTAATGTCAAGGGGTGGTGTCTGCTTGACGACAACTGGGTAGCATCTTTGGGCACTGAGCAGGCCCTTAACATAAGCCAGACTGTCTGCTCGGGGAGGACATTGGCAGGGCAGCCCCAGGCTGGCAGGCCCGAGGCCTGGCACCAGGGGGCAGACAAGACCTATCGGTAACATCCAGTGTGGAACTTTTTTTTTTTTCCTCTGGCAGCCACAGGAGATGTTGAAGAGGATGGTGGTTTATCAGACAGCATTCAGACAAGTAAACTGATACCCACTGTGTGTCTGGGGGTCTCCCCACCACCCCGCATCCCTCCCACTCTGTGCCACTTCTTTGTCTCTGGGAGTACCTGGTCAGGTCCACAGTGGCCCCATCTGCCACCAAGCGTCAGGCCAGAGCTGTGTCCTCCATTTCCTGTGCAGGGGTTGGGGAGGATTTCATATCAGATGGGGATCCAGGGCTTGTTAGACCCCATGCATGAGCTGAGAAAAAGCAGCAGGATCCCTGGGCACTCACCTCTTCTGCTGCTGTTTGTCCAGAGAGGAGCAGGGCAGGAGGAACCCTCAGAGGCCCACAGAGGCTAAGATGGGCCCTCGCTCCAGCCCTAGGAGAGAGGGAAGGGGCTGCTTAGGTGTCTCCCTGTACCTTCCCCTCTTCTCCTCCGGGCAGATCACAGCTTCACCAACCCTGCCTGACACTGAACCAGCGTCAGGGAAGAGATGGTAGCTGAGGTCCTCCCTGTGCCTAGGGTAATCCTATGCACAGGGGCATGGAAGTCCTTGCTGGTCCTCTGAGCGGCATTAGGCAGGCAGCCACCTACCCACCTGCCTCCCAGGGTACCTCCACAGAGCCAACCATTGGATTGGCTGTTTCATCACCAATGAAAGAAACCCCAGGACAGAGGGAGATCTTGCAGCCAGCCCAGGCTTCTCCAGCCTCCTCACTGATAACCCACCATCAGACCACAGGCTGATTTGACTGTAGGCAGGGAGCAGAGGGACGGTATCAACTGTGCAGTGAGACACAGGTGTCAGCAAAAGAGGCTGCTCCCAGCCCAGGGATTTGTCGATTTAATCTTTCCAGCAACCCTGGGTGGTAAGTGCTATTCTCATACCCATTTTCTCTATGAGAAACTGAAGCAGAGAGATTTGAAAATGTGCCCACAATGGCACAGCTAATGTCAATCCCTGGATTTGAATCCAGGAGGTTGGTCTCTGCAGCCTGTGCTCTTAAACACTGCGCCATCCTGCCTTAAAGCACTGTCGTCACAAAAGAGGCCTTCCAGGACCTGGCGGTTTAGGGCACAAACAGCCCTCCCAGGGAGAGAGGCAGGGAAGTACAGAGTCTAGGCTCCAGAGTTGGAGTCAAACCCTTGCTCCCCTGCCCACTGACTGGGTGACCTTGGGCATGAATATCACCTCTCTGGGCCTCAGTTTCTTCCTCTGTTGAATGCGGGGCTGGGTTGCCTCTTTAAGGGCTGACCAGCTGCTGTGACTTATGAGTCTCTGATCTAAATTCACACAAAACACAAGTACCTGCCATCTGGCTCATCCCTGAGAGCTTGTTCTCAGGATCAAGGAGCAAGGAGGCCAGAGCCAGCAGTGCTCAGCCTTCCAGGAGAAACAGCCAGAGCAAGTAGGGCCCTTAAAGTCACAGAGCATCGACTCCACACCCTGCCCAATGATCCCTCTTGCCCGTGCATTCGCTGTGCCCCCTCCTCTGTCTGCTGCCCACACACTGACCTGGATGTAGCCTCCAAGCTGAGCTAAGCTCATGGCCTCTTGGGGTTGAGCCTGGGTGATTAAGGCAAGTGAGGAGGGATGCCAGGCAGATGCTTAGGGATCTGTCTGCTGATATTTGGTGCTCGTCTTGTGCCTGGAACTTAGTTGGTGCATTCTGAGGATGGAGGAGTCTGTGGCCTTGCCACCACGCAGACCATGGGCCCCAGGGGACACTTGGTGTGGTCTAGGGACCTGCATGCTGCGGGTGCCTCCACTCAGACAGCGAGGCCTGCCATGGGGCTCTCCTCCGCTCCCACCTTCCATGGGAACCAGCTGTGGCTCTGCTGCCCTTGTGCTTAGCATCCTGGCCCCTCAGCCTGGGGGTGCCCCTGGCTCCCATTCACTGTGTATGACTCCCAAGGAAGGCCACCTAGTTCAGGCACTACCTCACTATGTGTTCAGGTGCCACCTCACTGTCTTGTTTCTACAGCCTGGAGCCATTGTCCCCACAGCATCCCCCATCAAGCCAGGTCCCCTGAGCTGTGTGTCCTCCCTTCTCCCCTAGCTAAAGGGCCAACCTGCGCTCCCCAGAATCTGGGGAGGCCTGTTGCCTTCTAGGTGAGCATTACATGAGAACACTGCCAAGCCCCAGGCAAGCACAGCTTCTTGACACCACCTGCTTTCCTCTTGGTGTCCATGGCCTCCCTCCACCATCTTGTGGCTGATTTCCAGGAACAGCCTTCTCTTGAGCTGCATGGTCCCCTCCTGTGGGGTCAGAGCACTGGGTGGAGACACCCTGGGCTTCATCCCCCAGGGTCTGGGCCTGCTCCAGTGGAGACTTGGAAGAGATGAGGTGGGGCCTAAAGGACTTGAGGCTGGGCTGAGACTTTCAGCAAGGCAGACGCTGCCTCTCCAGACCATCTAGAGGTCACTGGTGCCCCTGCAGCCCCTGACGCTTGTGCTGCTGAAGCAGGGCAGGGTCGAGATCCTCTAAAGTCTTCCTCAGCCTCCTGCTTGTCCCTGCACAGGAGTGTCCTGGCTGCTGGGGCTGCCAGCCTCCTGTCTGCATCCCCCACCCTGGCCCCGCCTTCCCTGGCCCTGCCCCTCACTTCTGACCCTTGGATTCTGACCATTCACCCTCCTCCTCCTTGGCCCTGACCCTCATGGGCCTCTGCTCTGTTGCCCTAAGGCCCTCCCTTTGCTTCCAGGATTTCCGGAAATATGAGGAAGGCTTCGACCCGTACTCCATGGTAAGAGATGACTCTTCTCTCCTGGGGGAGAAACCCCAGGAACAGGGCAGGGTGGGGTTAGAGTGTTTGATAGTGGTGCATTCCGGGCCCTGGGGTCCTGGGATGAGGTGGGGCACACAGGAGCCCAATGATGCCCCAGCTGCTCTTCCCACGAAGGTTCCTTCCAAAGGGCATTCCAGTGTGAACTGTATGGTGCACATACACGTGTGTGTGTCCACTGTCCCCATGGGGCCTGGAACCCCCAGTTGAAGACCAGTATGGGTGGGGCTGGGCACGGTCCCTTTGCCCATGTGCTCTGTGGGGCCCATGTCCCATAGGTGCCTGGATTCCTCTTCCAGCCCTACCCCCAGCACCATCCTTCAGGCCAGCTCAAAGCTTCCCACTGTCTTTTTCCCTGTAGTTCACCCCAGAGCAGATCATGGGGAAGGACGTCCGGCTCCTACGCATTAAGAAGGTACCTGGGCATGTGGAGGGCGGTGGGCCGCCATCCCTCTCTGCGCCTGCCCCTCCTACCTTGGTTCCCTGCTTCTAATCTCAAGGTCACTCCTGGGTGGCCTCTCAGGTCCCCACTGTCCTCCCCTCTCTTATGGAGATGCCTCTCTGTTGTAGGGCCACATACCCAGGCCCCACTTGGCACCGAGGCCACGTTTTCTCGTGATGGCACTGCCGGTGGCCCCATGGCTTCTCCCGCTCTTACTGTGGCTCTGTCAAGAGACTCCTTGGTGCCCAGGGGTCCACAGGCTGCTGTCTGCTTGGCTCCCTAAGGTCTGTTTTCCTCTAACCAGGAGGGATCCTTAGACCTGGCCCTGGAAGGTGGTGTGGACTCCCCCATTGGGAAGGTGGTCGTTTCTGCTGTGTACGAGGGGGGAGCTGCTGAGCGGCACGGTGAGTGGGGACCAGCCACACCCAGGTGTGGGGATGATACTTTCCTCTTGGTGTCCACAGCCTCCCTCCACCATCTTGTGACTGATTTCCAGGAACAGCTTTCTGTTCCTGGAACAGAGATTAGACGGGGCCCTCCAGGAAAGCAAATAGGTGACCACTTGGAGTGGGCTGACGGTGCTGGAGAGACGCCCTCCCACTCAGGTCCATTCATCCGACTGCCTGTCCAATCCCTGGGGATATGGGATGGTGCCGGGACCTGTGAGTACACAGCCAAGCCAGATGCTACCATGCCCTCAGCAGTCCCCAGCCAGGGTTGGAGACAGGCTCAGAATTGCCACATACTGAAAGTCACAGCGTGGTCTGCTAAGGGCTGACGGGGAACTCAGAGCGGAGGGAAGCTGTGGGGACTCTGAGGGGCCCCTAACCCACCAAGAGGAAGTGGGAGGCCAGGAGCACTCCTCAGAAGGGTGAACTGTGAGCTGAACGTTAGTCAATGTCAGCCTCACGAAGGAGAGAAAGGGCTTTTGAGGAAGAGGAGCAGTACATGGAAACCCCTAAAACCCTACCTGTCCTTTCAGTGATGGTAAGAGCCAAACATTTGGCCAGAACTAGCCAGAAGCTATTTGTGCCAGAAAATGTTCATCTGGCTCATAGCCCTGTGTCTGAGCGTTTCATGGATATTAACTCACTTAATCCTCACAACAACCCTGAAAGCAGGTTCTGTTATGATTCTTATTTTACAGCTGAGGAAACTGAGGCTCAGAGAGGTTAAAGTATTTGTTCATGGACCCACAGTCAGGAGAAGGCAGAGGCAGGATTCAATTCAGGCAGTTTGGTCATTTTGCTTTACTGTCCAGCACAAGTGCCACCTCTGTCGGAGGTCTTCTGCAGCCTTGTCCCTTCCCAGAGGGCCAGAGGCCCCCATACCCTGTGTCTTTCTTCTCACTTTGTTTTGTTCTTTTCCCCTTATCTACAAAAACACCCTCTGCTGATGAGTGAAACCTTTGCAGACCCCAGGCACAGTCTCTTGCTTCAAACCATCACCCTCTTCACCTGTCAGTGTCTGAAACCCCTCCATTGGTGATTTCTTCTTCTGTGTCAAGGAAGCTCCTGAGTCCTTTGTGGCCGTTTGTGGAGATGTAGGTGCCCTTGGAGGAGGAGCCCCAGGCCTCTTACCTTCCCAGGCCAGAGTGGGGGATCCTATGAGCAGATCCCTTCCAGGCAGTCCTAGGCTGGAGCCAGGCTGTACCACAAGCTGTAGGAGGTAGAATGGAGGTGGTAAGAGGTAAGGGGCAGGAAACAGGGGAAAAGGCCCTTGGGGGCTGGCAACCAGGCCTCTGTGGGTTACTAAGGTGAAGTATGGGCATTGGGAGCCCTGGGTACAAGTCCAACTCAGCACCCATGCCCTCAGTGACTTCACACTCTAAGCTTTCATTTCAGTCATAGAAGGGGGTCCTGCCCAGCTGGGCAGCTGCCCCAACCCATCAGTGCTCACCCAGGCCCCCCCTTCTTCTGTCTTCATCTCTTTGTCACCTGGTGACATTTCTGTGATACCTGCCTGCTGTGTCTAGCAGAGAGAGGAGACCAGGATGGATGGGTGACTCTCCTGGGTCCTTCCCACTTACAAAGCCCCAACCCAACCACTGCCTTATTACCCCTGAGACTCTGTCTTGGATTTGTACAAAATGAAAAGGTGAAAGTCACCCATCCCCACTTGCCCTGCACAGAGGCAACTGCTTTCTGTGGTTTGGTCTTGCACCGCTTTGAACATAACCAGCCACTGATGACTTTCCTAGGAGCACGTGTTTTAAGCCGCCATGGCCGCCATTGTCAGTATCATACACCACATTTCTGTGGGCCTTCATGCCCACAAGTCTCCTGGGTGATCTATTTCAATGTGACCTGGAGAATGTTCTGTGGACATCAGGACCAGGAGAAATTCCTCCAAAAAGGGCTCTGATGTCGAAGAGGTGTGGAAAACGACACACAATCTGTCTACCTGTTGGAAAGCCGCAGTGCGTGTTAGCACATTAAAGACTGACAAATCCTGCAGTGGGTAGCCCTGTTCAGCTTATAACTCAGCTTTCCCCAAAAGTATTAGATCCCAGGCATCTCTTCCAAGAGCACCTTATTACAGCATTCATTTATTCAGCAAATATCTACTGAGGTCCTATTTTGTGTCGGGCATTATATTAAGTGCTGGGGATACTATGGTGAACCAGAAAGACAATCCCTGCCCACATGGAGCTGACAGCATGGTGGGAGAGACCATCAGTAAACAAGTAAACAAACAGATTAATGATTAAAAATTGTGAAAAATGCCAAATAAGAAAAGACTGGGATGCTATGAGAGAACAGGCAAGATCTACATTTGACTGAGTGGGGGTCAGAGAAGCCCCTTCTGACATTTCCTCTCAGACCTAGAAGAAGAGAAAGCAAGGTGGGGAACAGCGACATGAAGTTTCTGCTGCAGGAGACAGCAGTGGCAGCTCAGGGACCTGAAGAGGCCAGCGTGACTGGGCAATGGGGAGGGTCGGCTGGCAGAATTGACTCAGGCCTCTTACTGTGCTGGAAATGCAGGTCTGTCTCCCTCTGTGGTAACAGAGGCTCATCATCAATGATGTCCCGGTTCTCCAGAGCTGGGGTAAGGGGATGTAGATGGGATAGGGATGAAATGCCCTTTGACTAGCCACTAAGCAGGTAGCTAGTTTCCCCTCATGCTTTCTGAGTCCACATGACCTTTCAGAACCCAGGTTCAGGTCTCTTCTGCGGTCCAGCAATGACCCCTCTTTGCCAAGCCCTGGGCCAGGCATGCGTCACATACAGCCCTGTTGGCCAATCAGCCTCATCTGCCTGCAGGTGGCATTGTGAAAGGGGACGAGATCATGGCAGTCAACGGCAAGACTGTGACAGACTACACCCTGGCGGAGGCTGAGGCTGCCCTGCAGAAGGCCTGGAATCAGGGTGGGGTAAGAATAAGCCCCCTCCATCCTTTCCTCCCTCACCTGCCTGCCTCAAACCCTGGGCTCTGCAGCCAGGCCTCACAATCAGATGCCGCGTCCCAGGGCAGGCACCTGGGGTCCAGGCAACACTTTGGTGACACCCACATACCCCGTCCAGCCAGTGGTTTAAATCTGACAAGATGGGATTCAGAAAAATAAATGTCAATTCCTGACCTTGGAACCAAAAAGCCAGTGGCTCAAACAGACTCCAGAAGCCAGGGCATGACAGGTCACCCAAGAAAAACACTTCAGGTATTTTCTAAGTGCACACTGAACAAGAATCAAGAGAATTCTGGGGGCTACCAGAAAGCATTAACAAAAGCAGAGAACCCAGGATGAAGGAGGGGCTGGTGGGAATCTGCTCTGTGATCATTACTGGGTCAGGGCCACTGCATAAGGTTGCCCAGGCTGTGCACTGCACAGCCTGAGGGGGTGCCCTTTTACAGACTGTAGTGTGAATGGTGCCTGCTCACGTTGTGCAATGCAAAACCTGTGCAACTGTATGCAGGCAGCCGAGCCTGAGGTATTAAGTTCAGTGCCGAGGAAGCTAACCAGATGGTCCTGAGACCCACAGGAAGGGATGTGGAGAAGAGAAGACTCACGGGTAACATGATGACTATCTTTGATTATCTGAAGGTCTGCATTAGGGCAGAGGGAGCAGAAGTGTTCTCTCTGATTCTTGAGGGAAGACCTGGATTGGATGGAGGGAAGTCCTGACGGGGAGAGAGAGAGATTTCAGCTCAATATTAGGAACTAGCTCATGGTAGAGGGGCCCAGCAATATTTCTGATACTTTTCAGGGGATACATCCAAGCCAAGGAGGGAATGAGGGGCAAGGATGGCAGTAAAAGGGATTCAGGTGTTAGGATCAAAAAGCTGGGCCAGAAGTCCCCCACTTGGTTGTGCATCAGAAAGTGCATCGGAATTACCTAGAGAGGTTGTTGAAAGTACTATTTCCCAGGACTCACCCCTGACTTCTAGGGGCCAAGTCTGTAAGTCTACACTTTTAAGAAGTTCCCCCAAGTGATTCTGAGGTTGCTGCCTGTCCCCGGTCCATAGATCGGCATTTGGGAGCTGAGTGTCATTCGAGCACCTTGCAGCCCTGGCCTCTATAGTCCCGAAGCCTCAGAGACTAGAAACATCCTCAGACCATGGCAGTCCACAGTGGGGCCCATGTGTGCCCATGGGAAGAAGGTGCAGGCTGGCTGATCCTGGACCATGGGGCCCAGAAATGGGGACGGAGTGCCGGAGCAGACACACCATCCAACTGAGTGTGCCCCAGAGTCACACGGCTTCTCCCCACAGGACTGGATCGACCTTGTGGTTGCCGTCTGCCCCCCAAAGGAATATGATGATGAGCTGTAAGTATGTGCAGCCACCTAGCCTGAAACCTCCTCTTCCTTTTCCAGAATCTCAGCCACCTTTCTCCAGCCCACCCCCAGCCTTCTCCCAGCCTGAAGGAATGGCCCAAGCACACAGCTTCTCATAGCCAGAGCTCCTAGAAAACTCCTGGACTAGAGCTTAGTCATTGTCCTTAAGCAGTGTCTGAGCTGCCTCCCAGGCAGTCTTGTCCAAATTCTTCTCTACTCTGGAGAACTGAGGCATGAGGTCTTAGACCGAGTAAGCAGTGATGTTGGGACAAAGACTCAGGATTGTTATTCCCCACTCAGAACTCTATCCCCTACCCCATTAGTAGATGGTTAGAAGGTGTCTGTGTTCATCCTTCACTCTCTGGAAGGTCTTCCTGATGTCTAACTGCATTCACTCATACTGTGCCTCTAGGCAGCCAGGGCCACAGGCTTTTATCCCCACCTTGTGGGATCTCCAGGGAGCTTTGGCCTAGTCTGTCTCTCTGTGATTCCCTGTGTGTCTGTCTCTGTCCTGTGGATCTCTCTGTCTTCTCTTCTCCTCCCTCTCTGTCTTTCTGTCTTTTGCCCTCTCCTTCCTTCCTGTCAACCTCTTATCGGCCCCCCTCTTTCCCCTTCATCCCAGTCCCCTTTCTCTCTTACTGTCTCCTATTCTTTCTTCCTGTTTCTCTCCATCCCTGTCTCTGAGTCCCTGCTCCTCTGTCCTTGTCGTTCTGCATCCATTCTTATCTGTCTGCCTTTCTCTGTTTCTCTGCCTCTGTGTGGTGTCTCAACTCCATCCTCACCTCATCCCATCACCTCCCCAGCCCTCACCCACCCACCACTCACCCACTCACTGACCATGCCCTGCCTCCCTGTCATGGCTGGGCCTGCTTGCTCCCCGTGGCCAGCCGAGTCTGAGCTCTACACGTGTCTTGGAGAAACCAGGGTCCGGCAGCTCCTAATTCTGGAACCCAAGGGCTAGGCAGAACCCGAGGCAGGAGCCCAGTGAAAGGAGAGGCCCCAGGGAGCTCTGCCTGGGAGTAACCAAGCCTGTTTTGTGTTTCTTGCTCTGCTCTGTGTGTATAGTGCTTCTCTTCCCTCCTCCGCAGCAGAAGGCCCCCAGCCGGTCCGAAAGCTCCTTGAAGACCGTGCTGCCGTGCACAGACACGGGTTCCTCCTGCAGCTGGAGCCCACGGTGAATAGGCAGGCGGGCCAGAGGGCCCTGTCTGTCCCTGCTGTGTGCAGTGGCCATCTGCTACCCACACTGTCAGCAGGTTCTTTGGACTGGTGTCTGGAGAGTACACAAGGCGCCATCCCTGAAGTGCTGCCCAGGGTCTGCTATTGGCCACAGTGGAATTCCCCAGACTCAAAGCCCTCCCCTCCCTCTACAGAGCCCAGTCTGTAGTACTTGCTTGGGACGCAGGTGTCCTGACTCATCACGGCCCTGGGACCTGCTTTGGGTCCCAAGCAGCACCCAAATGAGCAGGATGAAGCCCTGGGCACCATTCTCTGTGGGACACAGACAATGCCTCGAACCAGGCATGTGGGGCTAAAGGAACCCACAGGAAGCTTGGCTGGAATTGCCCCCAAGAGATGTCCTCAACAGAATGTGAAAATTCCCCTTCCTGTGAATGCCAACCAGCTGGGAGCTCCTGCTCCACCCTGGCCCCCACACTTGACCAGAACCAGGGCTATTAAGAGGTTTTGAAGGCTGGTCCAAAGAACCAGGGTTGGTGGATTAGAGTTGCTCATGTCCTGTTGTGCCCTGTCATGGCCTGAGCCGTGCTCAGAACAAACTGTCTTCTCTGCCTTTTCCCTTCCTTGGCTGTGGGCTCTATCTGTGGGATATACCGCGGAGCCCAGCTGTGGGATGTGTTTCTCACCCTGTGATAGGGATGTGCCCGTGGACAGAGCTGGCAGGTGGCTGTGAAACTGGTGTTTGGTGTGGCCTGAAGCCACAGATGGCAGCATCTGGGGCAGACCCAAGCCTGGACTTGACTTTGCTGTTACAACTTTCCTAAAACATTAGGGCCTCATGCTCCCAAGACAGATGGCCAGCTAGACCATGGCTTCTGGGGTGGCCCGCGTGGCCCTATGTTTTCTGTCACTTGCCTTTTGCAAGGGACTGTTGTCCCTGTTCCTCCTAGTCTCCTCCTCCCCCCATCCCAGGTGTCCCTCCCGCTTTCTCCCTGGCCTCCTGTGTGCTGTGGCTGTGGCTGGTGTGTAGCCACTTGGGGCCTGCACCCAGAGGGGTCTCCAAAGGTTGGCAGAGCCTCATACTGCCAGGGTGGGTGCTCCCCGTTGTGGAGCCTTGCTCTGGCTGGGCTGAGTGTGTACCCACAAGGCCTGCACCCACCTGGGATGTTTCTGCTTCCCTACAGGACCTTCTTCTGAAGTCCAAAAGGGGAAACCAAATTCACCCCTAGAAAACAGTGAGCTACGGCCCCACCTCCTGAACACAAAGCCTTGAGACCAGCCTTGAGAGAGGCCATACTGCACACACCAGACGGCATCCCTGGGACCTGAACCTAGCACCCAGGAATCTCAAACTCTCTTTGGCCCTGAACCAGAGCCAGATAAGGAACAGCTTGGGCCACTCTAATGAAGGCCAACATGGAGGAGAGGGAGCAGCCCGCTGTTTGGGAGAAGATCTCAGGGATCCAGACTCTCATTCCTTTCCTCTGGCCCAGTGAATTCGGTCTCTCCCAGCCCTGGGGGACTCCTTCCTTGAACCCTAATAAGACCCCACTGGAGTCTCTCTCTCTCCATCCCTCTCCTCTGGCCTCTGCTCTAATTGCTGATAGGATTGTCACTGCATACCTTACTCTGAGCTCATTAATAAAATAAACATTTCTTTTCCAGCTTATAGGAGTGAGTATGGATTTGGGCAGCAGATTCGAGGCTGCAAATCAAAAAACCATAAGGTTTGTGGCCCCTATTCAAGGGTGATAGACAGATCCCAGTGCTGTGATCTGGGTCTGACATGAAGGATGTGATCAGATGGCCAGGGCTGGCTCGGAGCAGAGGGTTGAGAAAGCAGGAGATGGGCTGGACTGGGCTTCAGTGTCTTCTCAGCAGAGATGGTAGGAGATGAAGTCTGTGTGGCAGGGATTTTGCTCAATTCCAGAAAGCAGAGCTGAAGGCAGGAGCCCCGAAGGGTCACCTCAAGATATGGGGCGCCCCAGCTTCTTTCAAGAACATCACAGCCACCAGTGCTTCTCCTGAGGTCACCACGACAACATGTGAGGGAGGGAGATGGCGGGGTCCACTCCCCCCGTGAAAGTGCATCCCACAGAAGCTCGTAGGAGATGCAAGGGCTTGAGGCAGGAAGGCTTCGAGGGCCCAGCAGGCGGAAGATCAAAATTCTTCTGGTGACAGGAACCAGGGCTGCTAACTCTGAGGAAGAGAGTGGGGCTGTGTCAGCAAGACTTGCCTGACCCCATCTCTGTTTCCCCATTCCACATTCCTGTAGTAGAATCTGATCAGGCCAAATCACCTGAGTGGGCGACCCTTGAGTTAGGGACCAGTCACAGGTCCAATCAACTGTGGCCGGGGGTGGGGTCACATCCCACCCAACATGGCTGCTGAGGCAGCAAGGACCGTGGGCAGCAAGTCATGATCACCACCCCTACCAGAGGATGACTACGACGTCCCTCGTCCCCCACCAAACCCTGGGTATGGAAAGGAGGTGGACTGGGGTCCCAAGAGAAGGCAGTCTGAGGGAGAGTGCCTCTGTGTAAGGGGACCACAGGAAACCCCTTCCTGAGGTAGGACACTGCAGAGAGCCCCTCGAGGACACACCCACTGCCCATCCCCCAGGTTCAGCACTATGTTCAGCTGAATCCCCCCCTCATCCCACAATGGATGCAAACCAAGCTGGATCCCGAGGACTTGGTGATAAAACAGACAGACTTCCAACACCTCCCAGAATCATGGCAGGGGAGAGTGGCTCAGACCAAAATGCAGTGACTACCATGTGGGACTGAAAGAAATCAGTGGGTAGGGACAGAGAGAGGGAGCAGAGAAACTGCCAGGCTTTCTGATGTGCTTGATGAAGACAAAGCCACAGTGACCTTCAAATTGCTGGCACTCAGAGACAGCAGCCACACAGACGAGTTCCCTGTGTTTTCCTGTCTAGCACCTAACCTGGCTCTGGAGAAAATTCTGAAACCCAGGTAAGAGGAGGGAGCTCCTCTTTGCTGACACCCATGTGCCTGGCGTAGGCTAGACCCTTGTTTGCCCTTTCAAACTGCAACACCTGGGCTTCATGCCTGGCCCTCTCAGGGGCCTGGTGATAGCAGCCCACACTCAGATGGCATTGACTAAGTGCCAGGTATTATTCTAAGCACTCAGCTCATACATCTCATCAACAACTCCATAAGGCAGATACTATTATCATCAACAACCTCATTTTATTAAGAGACAGTTGATATACAAAGAGGTGAGGTCACTTGCCCCAGGTCACACGGTGAGGAAGTAGTAGAGCTGTGATTCCAGCCAGGCACTCTGGTCCCAGAGACTATGCGCTCCCATTTCCACCATATGCTCTAGAGGGCAAGGCAGCTCCCATCGGAATGTCTCAAATTCCGGACTGTTGGCAGAACACTTCTCCCCACCACTGAAGAACAGTGAATGTTCTGCTGTTAGGTGGTGGCCACCTCCTCTTGTGACCTGCAAAAACTTCTACTGAGGCCTTCAGCTGGTCAGTGCCTGGAATCTTACCATTAGAAACTCACCTGCTGCTGGAGTGAATGAGTTTATCAGCGCTTATCGGGACTTGGTGAGTGAGACGATAAAGAGGCTTTGAGCTCCTGATTAGAGGAGAAGGGCAGGGAGGATGAGCACTGCGCAGGGCAGAAAGGGGGACTGAGAGGAGGTGGGGAAGGTAGATGGCATAGCCCTGAGCCAGGAGGTCACCCAGGGCTGGCAAAGTGTGTAGGCTATGATGGGCTTCAGCTTCCTTTTTTATGACGCTTTCTTCATTGTCATCAAGGAAATGAACTCTCATTAGAAAGTTGTCCCACATTGAACCCAGAGTGCATAGTTCTCTCCAGCAGACACTCACATTTACCAGGTAAGAAGGGAAAGAGCCAAAGAACTTGTATAGAGAATCTAAATCAGCTCCTGACTCGCTTTGGGAGCTGCAGGAAAACTGCTGGGGCTGGAGTCCGTGGGAGGACTAGACCAGACATCAGGATTCACTTCAGTGACCAAGACTGAGCATTTTAGGGCTAAAACTAGGGCAAGGACAGCCCATGGGCCAGCACTGTCTAACCAGCCAGCGAGGCAGCCACTTACCACTCATCAAATCTGGCCTACAAGATGAGCCTTGTTTGCCACCCTAGACCCGCAACCCCCCATCACTGGATGCTCAGGAAAATTGAACCCAAGGAGGGAATGATTTGTTAGGATCCCCCTAAGTTGGTGGCAGAGGTGCCCTTTCTCTCCACCACCCAGTGGAAACACAAACCTAAAAAGCCTGGGAATCCGAGGATGCCCTTTGACTCTGAACTTTTGGCATTCTACGCATCTCATTGAAGTTGCTTTCCACAGCTAGTCCCCAGGGTTTGCCGAGCTGGCTTTGAGCCTCTCGCCTCTGTATCTGGGAGTCAGAGGGGAAAGGGCTGAGTTTATGGCCTCTGTGCTTCTGTGACTCTCTTTGGGCCTGTGTGGCTGGGAAGCTTGTTCTCACCCAGTTCCAGCCTAATTCCCAAGACCAAGATGTGGATAAGAATCTGTTTCCAGAGCTGAGAGCCCTGTTCTTTCCAGTCGCTGCAATGACAATTCCAGCTCTCTGGAGGCCAGGCTGGCCATGGCTCTGTGAGAACTACAGCGGGCAAGAGCAGCCACCTGGGGAAGGCAGGTGGGGCTGCCTGATGCAGGGAGAGGGTAGAGGGCTGCAATTATCTTTCTGGGGCCTGGGGTTTGCAGCCCAGGAACCTGCCACTGGCCTTCGTAGGAATAAGATTGTTACTAACTACTAGGTGCTTACTACTTGTTAAGCACTATGCTGAACTCTAAATGTGTGGTGACTCATTTAGTCATTACATGGAATCCTTTGAGGTAGACAATGCTGTTATCTTCATTGGGGAAACTGAGGCACCAAGGCGTTAAGTAACATACCTGAGGTTAAATAGTAAGTAGTATAGACCAGGCAGGGCTGCTCCAGAATCCATGTCATTAAACCACAGTGCTATACCGCTTCAAGTAGATGAGAAAGGATGTACAGAATCTGATTTCGTGTGCCCCTCAGCCTGGCATTCAAAGTTCTATATCCTCTGGCCCCCAGAGCATTTCTCCAGCCCCGGTTCTTGCCAAATAACTTCCTCTGCTTCTGCCACATCAACCTCTCTGGTTTCCTTGGCCTGCCATGTTCCATCGCTTCTCTGTGTCTTTGCACGTGTTCACTCTACCCTGTCCTCCTCATGCCTATGTGAACTCCTATGCGCACTTTAAGGCCTAGGTCACCTGTCCAAGGAGGGCACTGAGCCCCACATAGACGAGATTTCAGTCAATGTGAGCACACCCTCTTGAAATGGACCCTTTGGGTTCCAAGTGACAGAAACCCAATTGAAGAGGACCAATTAAATGAAAAACCCAGGAGTATATGATGTCAGGTTTGGCTGGATCAAGATATTAAAATGATGTATCTATTCTGGCCATCTGTGTTAGTCAGGGGTCTCCAGAGAAATTGAAGCAAGAGAGAGATTTTTATTTTAAGGAATTGGCTCACACAATCGTGGAGGCCAGCAGGGCCAAACCCTGCAAGGCAGGCCAGCAAGCTGGAGGCAAGGGAAGAGCTGATATTGCAGCTCCGGGCCAAAGCCAGTGCATTGGCAGAATGCTCTCTTCCTAGGAGGACATCAGCCTTTTTTCTTTTAAAGCTGTCAGCTGATTGGATGAGGCCCACCCACATGATGGAGGATAAGTCTACTGATTTAAATGTTAATCTTATCTAGAAAATGCCTTCACAGCAACATCTAGATGTGTTTGACCAAATATCTGGGTACTGTGGCCCAGCCAAATTGACACATAAGATTAACCAGTGTGCTGTCTCTGGACTCCTCTGTTTGGCTTCATTCCCAGATGGGCTCTTTTCACATGATGCCAAGATGGCCTCTGCTATTCTAAACGTATTCTACCAAGTAGTGCAACCCCAGGGAGAAAAGCACGCTTTTTCCTAATAGTTCCAGCTAAATCCTGAGGATTTACTCTGATTAGTTCAACATGGGGGTGTAGCCATCTCTGATTAGCCAGACCTGGGTCACACACCCACCCATGTAGCCAGGGTTTAGAGTAAGCCCATCTAGTACCACATGGACTAGGTAAAGGGGAAGGGTGGGTTCCAAAAGGAAAATTGGGGGCTGTTGCAGAAGAAGGAGAAACAGATCTAAGGCAGACACAGAGGGGTGTTCCCTGAGAACCCTTGTCCCCAGAAGTGCCCTTTCTCCTCCTTTTCACCTGTTCTTCCCCTTTCCTCTCCCTGCGACCTACACGGAAAGGGGCCTGTGGCCAAGACACCAGGGGTTCATTCCCTTGGTATGTGGAACCCTCACCAACTCCCAGCTGTCAGGGCTGGGTAGTTGGCCAACAGTTGGGAGTGAAAAATGGTATGTGATCTTGTATGACCACAGGACCCCCAAGGCTAAGATATGAGGGTTCCAGTACTTGCTCCCCAAATGTCCGGGGGTGAGAACTGAAATCTGACCTTAGTCACATTTGTTAAATCTCATTTTGGTTTCTTCAACTATAAAGGAGGTATAAATAGAACTTATTTCATGGAATTGTGAGGATCAAAGGAAATACAGATAAACTGCTTAGAAATAGTTCTTGGCCCTGAAATTAATATTAACTTAAAATCTGGGA